CATTCTCCTCTCGGGATCTTGGGCAAGCATGCACACGCGCCCAGTGTGAGTTTTAAGCCACTGGATCCAGGACACGAGCCGCGGTCGACTACGTGGGAGTCCAGCAACATAGCCATTACGTTAACTGCTGGTACATATCTTCTTGTTATCACCAGGCTTTAATAAATTCTTTTCCTCTCTCACCACCTACTTTGCCTCTCTGTGTCTTTCTGAGTGACTTAAGACTGGACCTGCATTGGGTCTTTGGGTGCGAGGCCTAGGGTCTCTCCCTTGTTCAGCAACAAAAGAAAACAAAACAATGAAAAATAATGATAAATTGAGAAGGAAAAAAAGGATATAAAATCATATGTAACTGGATCATAGGTGTATAATTGACCAGGAATGACAGTAGACATGATTTTGGAAGCTGCGTTTGACCTCGTAGCCACATCTGGTCTTCCTTCAGGGGAAAGGCTCTCCTTGCTTGGGTTCTTTGACCCTAATCTCTCCTAGTGTTCTCCCTTTCCTTTCCTAGTCTCTCTTGCTATCTCATCTCCTTGATCATTAAATATAGTCCCTCAAGATTCATACTAGCCAATACAGAATGGCAACTCCTTTTCTCATATATCCAGCTCAGATATCTCCACCAAGCTCTGCTCCCTTAGGTCAATGGCTTCTGGATGCTTCCATTGTGATATCTTAAAGACCTCTCAAATCCAACATAACCAAAATAAACTTGTCAGATTCTTCCCCACACCCAGATCCCCTCAGTATTCCTTAATCTGAGTGACTGCTACAAACATTCCTCCAGTTATGAGTCATAAAACTGGGAGCCCACCCTGGCACCCAAGTCATATAGGATCCATTCTCAAGGCCATCCATTTTACTACATATTTTCTGAAGAGTCCACTTCTTACTCCATAGCTATCACCTGAATCCAAAGAGTGATCTTATTTTACCTGATCTACTCAAGAGTCTCCTAATTATTCTCCCAGCATAAACATTAGCTTCCCTTCAACCCTATCTCCATATAAGGAGCCAGCATGATACTTTAAAAGCATTCAAGTCCTGCACCTGATAGCTTGAAAATCATGCCAGGTACATGTGTGTGCATGTCCCAAATCCCAGGAGAGTGTAGGGGAAGAGACTGCAGCCTGGTCATCCACTCTGGGTGGGGTGTGGGAGGAATGGTTTCTTATTTTTCTTCTCTTTGTCTGTCTGTCTGTCTGTCTGTCTCTCTCTCTCTCCAGTAAGCACACCCTATGGTAAAAACAAACACAAAAAATAAAGCATAAACCTGGGGGACCAGCAGTTAGTGTAAGGGCTATGTTACTGGACTCCCACGTAGTCGACCGCGGTTCAGGTCCTGGACCTGGCAGCTTAAACTCACACTGGGCATGTGTGAGTATATGCCCAAGATCCCAAGAGGAGAATGGAGGAGAAGGGATTGCGGTATGGCCATCCCCCCTGGGGAGGTGATTTCTCGCTTTCTGTCTCTCTGTCTTTCTCTGTCTTTCTGGCAAGTGCATGCGCCCTATAGTGAAAACCTCTCCAAAAATAAATACATACATACATAAAAATAAAATAAAGTATAAACCCAATGGAGTCAGCTGTGGTGTAGTGGTTAAGGTGCTTGATTCCTACATGGCCAAATACGGTTTGAGTCCCAAACCTGGCAACTTGAACATCATGCCATCAGTGTGCACATGTGTACCCACATATATTGAGCTGGGACATACATCTTTACAGTGTAAACACGGTTTTTCCCAGCACAAAGACAATGCATATCAGTTATACATTATCATCAGCAAATAACTTTTCATTTTTGTGTTAATTAAATGTACTGTTGGATTATTTCTTTCCTGTTCCCCTGTCTACACTCTGGCAGAAACGGAAAGATTGGAAGGTA